TTCTCCTCCTTGGCTTTTGCAGCCGAATTCCCCTTTTCCTGCCTCCTCACCTGTCCCGGGCTGCCGTTCCTCCCCGATGCTCCCCCATGCACTGATCCCCTTCCCTGGGGAGGGACGGACACCGCAGCCCTGGGGACCCCCACGCACGTCACATCCCCAAGGGAGGTGAGAACACGCAAGACCCTGGGGCCTGGCAATGCAGGTCGGGGACACGGACAGGGCTGGTGACGGACATGGACAGGGATGGTGACGGTGACCCTGGCACCATGGTGGGGCCAGGCTGGGGGGACTCGCGGCCCCCCGGGACACCCGTGCCGCACGGCCTCGCTACCGAAGGCGGGGTCTGGCCAATTGCTCCGGCGTAACGGCTGGCGGGGCACTGTGGGACGCAAACAGGCTCCTTCCATTCCGCAGCTTTGTTTTCTTTTAAAAAGTAACCCCGGGGCAGGAAGGAAAGCGCTTTGTGCCCTTCGCTTCTGGGGGCTCCCCGAGCAGGCGATATTTCGCTGGGGTCCAGAGCATCCCTGGGACAAGGACAGCGGGGTTAAAACTTCCTTGCCTTAATGTAGGAAACCTCGGCCAGGGCAAAGGCACGGAGGGACCGGCTTGGGCAATAGCTAAAAAAATCACAGCTAAGGGTCACTGGCACAGCCTGGCCCTGGGGAGGGTCAGATCCTGGCTCCTTTGCCCTCGTTGCTCCATACAGAGCCCCTCTGGGATGGGACGGTGATGCCCCCCGTACCGTACCCACGCAAACCCCCTTTCTCCTGGACGCAGACAGCCCCGTGCTGCTCCATCTTCCCCACCAGCCCCAAGCAGGGTTGCAGGGGTGATGCCCTCAGCCCTGCCTCGGACCAGGGCAGGAGGATCTCGCTCTTGCACGCCTGCGGGGAGACAGAGGAGCCCATCGCCGGCACAGCCGTGAGCCGGCGGCTGGGTCTGGCTGGCTCACGACTGGCAAAGAGGTGTTTGTCACTTGTGCAAGGCAAGAGGGGTTTAATTTAAACCAGACGAGCCAGGCTGCATCACAGGCGAGCCAGGAGGACAGGCTCTGCTCCGCACCTCCCTTCCCCGCCGCGGTCCGGTGCGATGCTTCAGCCCACGAACGTGAATTCCTGCGGTTTCCACGAGCGCTCGGGGAGCTGGAGCGGCACGCACGACGCTGAGGCAGGGTAAGGGGGACGATGGATGGACGGGGAGGCTGCACGGCTGGAGGAAAGGCTCTCAGCATGGGCTGTTATCTTCCTCGGCGTGACTCAGGAGGCAGAAAGCAATCACATCCTTGGAATTTCAAACCCCTTTCCAGCCTCCAAAGTTCTTTGGCCTGCAAAAAAGCCCCGAAACATTGGGTGCCTGCAAATGCTGCAATGCAAACTTACATGTGGGCAGCGATGAAGCGCAGCTGCTCTGGATGTTGGGGGCATCAAGAGGAGCTGCAGCTCCGGGGACCCCCAAACCATGTGTCACCTCCAGCACAAAGGGACGTGGGAAGGGGACGTGCCATAGGGCCAGGCAGTGCCCCAGGTTGGGACCCCCGTGGGCTGCTTTTCAGATGGCTTTTCCGCTCTTTTTGGCTCTTTCCAAGGACCCTGGGGTTCACTTCCCAGGCTGTGCACAGCCTTTGTCACCTGCTTTTGCAGGCACAGAGCAACCCAGGACCGAGCCACCTGGATCCCCCGGACGCCTTCCAAGTGCTCTCCCCAACCAACGCGCTCCCCTCGCTCCCGGCCCCAGCACGGAGCCGTTTCTCCAGCTATTTCCTTTCCAAAGCAGACACACCCCATCTCCAAGTGGGGATTTTTCCCTTTCCAACCCTCTCTTCTGACCAATAAAATAGAGCACCGTTAAGCCTACATCCCCAACCACCCTATTACCAGGAGGAGGAGATCCCAGTCTCCAAGTTTTTTCCCATCTGAGCCCAGAAAGCCAAAAAATTGCTGGGTTGGGCGTACGCAGCAGTCCCCCCGCTTATAGCCCCGGCAGTAAGGGACATGCCCAAGGATGAAGAGGAACGCGGTGGTAGAGGCCGGGATGGGACCCGGATCTCCCCATCCAGCATCCCAAGCCATCACATCGTGCCATGCACCGTGCCGACCTGCAAGGCCCAGACCGCGACGGGCTTCCAGTTCCCCCCACCAACAATCTGTGCACGTGGGGGGGGGGCTGGTGTGTGTATAAAGGAGTTTTAATTAGCTAATAATCTTTAATAGGGTTTAATTGCCTTGTTATAAAAGGTAATTACAGCAATACATCAAATTAGAGCTGTAAAATTAATAGATTTACCCGTTGTATTTATTGAGAGAGCTGAAACTTGCAGCGAGCAGCAGCCAGGGCAGCGCCGATGGGTGCGCTCTGATATGGCGAGAGCAGAAATGTGAGCAGCCGCCGAGCCACTCTGGCACAAATCCTGTTCTAATCCCGCTGTCCAAGACAGCCTGGGAACCACGAGCACCCACCAATCACTCTGTGGTCAGCAGCCAAGG